GGCAGGGATTGTAGCTGAGGGAGTGAATGTACAACACTGCTCTGGGTGTGTGTTTGTTCACTTGTTTGCTGTGTGTGTCCACTTGGATGGGTGAAACGCAGAGCACAAATTCCAAGTTTGGGACACCATGCTTGGCCACATGTCACGTCCTTTCCTCTATAATTTTTTCTAATCATTTTTAAATCTCTTAAAATTTAATTTTTTTCACAATATAATGGTTTAATTTTTGGTCAAATAAGCAGCCTTGGTGAGCATTAGAGAATTCTTTCATAAACATTAAAAATCTTAATCAACCTCAAACTTTTGAACAGTATATGTGCTCATTTCTGTTTCAGCTCCGAATCAAAACTGAGAGTGGACGATCCTCTGCTGTTGACAAGAGGGTTTGAGAGAGCAAAGCAGAAACTACTGCAAGTACTTCAGGTAAGACTTCACAGTATCCACTTTATTTTTAATGTAAGAGCAAGTGCGTAACCATTTGTCCAGGTCATTTGTAACTTAAATGCGTGAGGCTTCCGGTGTACTTCGCTTCCAGTTATTTAGCTGTACAAAAACAGTCAGATATGCTGCTTTATATTGCTAACTGCTATTTCTTTTCATATCATTAAGTATCAGCAAGTAGGCTATTATAGTAATCATAAACACATCGGTTGTAGCGCAAATAGTTTTACTATTTACTGCACTTTGTTATTGTTCTATGGAACATTAGTGCACAATGTGCACATTCACAGAAAATAGCTCAATACCACATTGCAAAATAAGCTGGATGCTATTCATTTTAATTTAATTCTTTGACTTTACTGACTCATGTAGCAATAATGCATGAAAGAACCCAAAACATGAATCTCTGCCCCACTTAAACAGGATGACATCTCTACGAATCTACAGAACATCCTGCGCTACGATGAGGATCATGGACAAAATGAGGACTCAATGGATGAAGAAACTTTCCTCAAAGTGCACATAGATGTCATTCAGGTAGCTCTGAGAGAGAGAGAGAGAAAGTGAAGCAAGACTTAGTTTTGTTTGCTCATGTAAAAAGGTATCAGAGGGGATTTGAATATGATATATTGCTAATCTGTTTCATGTTTTGTTTTCACAGTGCCTGAATTGTGCTATTTTAGAAGCTGAAACAGTTGGTCTGACTTTGATGCACGCCGTACAAATACTCTGTAGTGAAGAGCTGCATGATTTTGTTCAGAAGTAGGTTTCTCTATCTTGTTTTACACCTTTAAAGTTCACACACTAAAGCAGCAGGGGTGTCAAATTCAGTTCCTGGAGGGCCACAGCCCTGCGGAGTTTAGCTGCAATCCTAATTATACACACCTGATCCAGCTAATCAAGTCCTTCAGGCTTATTTGAAAACTGCATTGTTTGTGTGTTGAAGCAGGGTTGGAACTAATGCTGCATTCAAGTCCTCCTGGGACGTTTGTACTTATGAGTTGACAAATTGTATGACAAATTTAATTTCAACAAATTTACCGTCAATACAGATGCTGCATATCTATAGTTTTTGGCTGCGTCCATTAAAAATGTATTTTTCACTGACACACCCCCAAATTTTGAGTTTCCCACTCGTAGTAACGACTTTGTGGTGGTGGCATTCATATCAACTCGTAAATATGATCTATCTGACATGAACGCACCATAAACTCTGCAGGGCTGTGGCCCTCCAGGAACTGAGTTTAACACCCCCGCAATAAAGTTATTCTCATTTAATGAGCATCCAGTTATGATCTTTTTAGTGTATGGTTGTTGGAGTGGGGAGGTTTGTAATCCTGTTCTTAATAGCTATAAATATGTGTTTTCTTAGGTATGTGGATGCTGAGAATGATCGTCTTAAAAAACTAACAGTTACAGAGAAAAACTCTGTGTGTCTGTTTCGGATAATCAACACCTGCATGCAACTCAGGTATTTACTAACGATGATTAAATAATGAACTAATATATGACTTAGAACCTGTAACAGTGTATAATTAAATGGATAGTTCACCCAAAAAATTTAATTCTGTCATTAATTACTCACCTTCGTGTCGTTCCAAACCCGTAAGACCTTCGTTCATCTTCGGAACACAAATTAAGATATTTAACGACCAAAATAATCCATGTGATATCAGTGGTTCAGCCGTAATGTTATGACATTACGAGAATGACTTTTTGTGCGCAAAGAAAACAAAGCAAAAAAATGAACTATTTAAACTTTAAACTGTTTCTTCTCTTCCGCGTCAGTCTCAGCTGCGTGTTCACGAGAGTACCACGACACATGCATATGCATTCCTTCATTTTTGGGTGAACTATCCCTTTAAACACTAACTGAAGAATAGGTGAAGATATGTGGCAGTATAATTGTAGGGATATTAAGTTAAAGTGACTAATATTTGGCTTCCATATTTGGTTAAAATATTGTGACTCAATGGATGAAGAAACTTTCCTCAAAGTGCACATAGATGTCATTCAGGTAGCTCTGAGAGAGAGAGAGAGAAAGTGAAGCAAGACTTAGTTTTGTTTGCTCATGTAAAAAGGTATCAGAGGGGATTTGAATATGATATATTGCTAATCTGTTTCATGTTTTGTTTTCACAGTGCCTGAATTGTGCTATTTTAGAAGCTGAAACAGTTGGTCTGACTTTGATGCACGCCGTACAAATACTCTGTAGTGAAGAGCTGCATGATTTTGTTCAGAAGTAGGTTTCTCTATCTTGTTTTACACCTTTAAAGTTCACACACTAAAGCAGCAGGGGTGTCAAATTCAGTTCCTGGAGGGCCACAGCCCTGCGGAGTTTAGCTGCAATCCTAATTATACACACCTGATCCAGCTAATCAAGTCCTTCAGGCTTATTTGAAAACTGCATTGTTTGTGTGTTGAAGCAGGGTTGGAACTAATGCTGCATTCAAGTCCTCCTGGGACGTTTGTACTTATGAGTTGACAAATTGTATGACAAATTTAATTTCAACAAATTTACCGTCAATACAGATGCTGCATATCTATAGTTTTTGGCTGCGTCCATTAAAAATGTATTTTTCACTGACACACCCCCAAATTTTGAGTTTCCCACTCGTAGTAACGACTTTGTGGTGGTGGCATTCATATCAACTCGTAAATATGATCTATCTGACATGAACGCACCATAAACTCTGCAGGGCTGTGGCCCTCCAGGAACTGAGTTTAACACCCCCGCAATAAAGTTATTCTCATTTAATGAGCATCCAGTTATGATCTTTTTAGTGTATGGTTGTTGGAGTGGGGAGGTTTGTAATCCTGTTCTTAATAGCTATAAATATGTGTTTTCTTAGGTATGTGGATGCTGAGAATGATCGTCTTAAAAAACTAACAGTTACAGAGAAAAACTCTGTGTGTCTGTTTCGGATAATCAACACCTGCATGCAACTCAGGTATTTACTAACGATGATTAAATAATGAACTAATATATGACTTAGAACCTGTAACAGTGTATAATTAAATGGATAGTTCACCCAAAAAATTTAATTCTGTCATTAATTACTCACCTTCGTGTCGTTCCAAACCCGTAAGACCTTCGTTCATCTTCGGAACACAAATTAAGATATTTAACGACCAAAATAATCCATGTGATATCAGTGGTTCAGCCGTAATGTTATGACATTACGAGAATGACTTTTTGTGCGCAAAGAAAACAAAGCAAAAAAATGAACTATTTAAACTTTAAACTGTTTCTTCTCTTCCGCGTCAGTCTCAGCTGCGTGTTCACGAGAGTACCACGACACATGCATATGCATTCCTTCATTTTTGGGTGAACTATCCCTTTAAACACTAACTGAAGAATAGGTGAAGATATGTGGCAGTATAATTGTAGGGATATTAAGTTAAAGTGACTAATATTTGGCTTCCATATTTGGTTAAAATATTGTGTCTACCATGAGATACAAACCTTGCGTCATTGTTATAATTAGTGTCATTATATCTTGTGAGTGTATTCTTTTTTTAAAAATATTTGTGCTATCAATAAAGTAAAGTAATTTGTGCTATTAAAAGTAATATTTATTTTTTGAGTGCACTTTTTATTGCACCTTTAATTGGATGTTTCCTAAATTGGCTTTTCATTACAGTTAACCTTTAACTGCCCCTTTTCTGCAGTTTTATCATAAAACCAGTATTATTTATTTTAACTATAGATGCTATGCTGCACAAATCACTCCAGATGTTAGCAACAGCGATCATGACTCAAGCACTATATGCATGCTACAAAAACAGGAAGATAAAGCTTCATCCATTGTACAAAAGATCATGAACTGCTCAGCACAGGTATGTTTTGATTTTTTTTTTTTTTTTTACATCTGTGTTTATGATCATCTGTTCAGGAGAAAAGTTAAATAAAGTATTTGAGTACACAGAATTGAATTAAGATATTTAACGACCAAAATAATCCATGTGATATCAGTGGTTCAGCCGTAATGTTATGACATTACGAGAATGACTTTTTGTGCGCAAAGAAAACAAAGCAAAAAAATGAACTATTTAAACTTTAAACTGTTTCTTCTCTTCCGCGTCAGTCTCAGCTGCGTGTTCACGAGAGTACCACGACACATGCATATGCATTCCTTCATTTTTGGGTGAACTATCCCTTTAAACACTAACTGAAGAATAGGTGAAGATATGTGGCAGTATAATTGTAGGGATATTAAGTTAAAGTGACTAATATTTGGCTTCCATATTTGGTTAAAATATTGTGTCTACCATGAGATACAAACCTTGCGTCATTGTTATAATTAGTGTCATTATATCTTGTGAGTGTATTCTTTTTTTAAAAATATTTGTGCTATCAATAAAGTAAAGTAATTTGTGCTATTAAAAGTAATATTTATTTTTTGAGTGCACTTTTTATTGCACCTTTAATTGGATGTTTCCTAAATTGGCTTTTCATTACAGTTAACCTTTAACTGCCCCTTTTCTGCAGTTTTATCATAAAACCAGTATTATTTATTTTAACTATAGATGCTATGCTGCACAAATCACTCCAGATGTTAGCAACAGCGATCATGACTCAAGCACTATATGCATGCTACAAAAACAGGAAGATAAAGCTTCATCCATTGTACAAAAGATCATGAACTGCTCAGCACAGGTATGTTTTGACTTTTTTTTTTTTACATATGTGCTTATGATCATCTGTTCAGGAGAAAAGTTAAATAAAGTATTTGAGTACACAGAATTGTGAAATCCATAAAATCTTATTAGGATTATTTTGGCAGCATCCATTCATATCAGACTATCTCTCTGGGCTACTGATAAACAACAAGGATACTGAAACGTTTCCTAACACATTTTATATCAAACTTACAGTCCTGCTTCTCTTTAAATGTTCATTTGTAGGCCAAATTAGAAAGTTACTTCAAGAAAAGGAATGGGCATATTGATATCCTAATGGAGGCAATCCAAAAGCAGTGTGCATCTCTGCCTGAGACCGCCTCAGAGATCAAAACGGTACGCACAGTGTATGACCTTAAAACTAATCAAAAAGATTCAAGCTCCATATCTCACCCTCAGTCTCTCTCTAACAATCTCTTTATTCTCGACAGGTCATTGTGAAAATAGCTTACGACAGTGTTTCCAAAGTGTACCTGGAATGCCTGATGAAGACAAAGTTTAGAAACCTAGAGCAGTGTTGGGGAAATGCTGAGGAAAAGATACAAGAGGATGTTCAGCATTTTCACCAAACATTCGCTGAACTGGTGAAAAAAAAAACTTTTTATTTCTCAAATAACTCTTGTTTGTATGGGTTGATTTCTTGATGCATTTGACTCTTGGAAATAAGGGTCAAATAACATTCAGCATAATTGTTCCACGTACGGTACAGAATGGGTAAAAAGCTGGTTTGAGTAAAGTGATTTTTGCTTGCAGAATGGCATTGTTGCCCAGCAGAACCAGCTCCTTCGGAGAATGAGTGAAGTTTTACATTGCAGTGATGTAGAAGCACTGAAGATTACCTGTTGTGATTTGTTCAGAGATTTCCCTCAGGAGAGGTGAACTCAGATCACAATTAACACTTCACTACAAATGCAAACATGTATTTGCAGTTGTTTAAAATGGAGTGAGAGTATTCAAACAGAGGATGAGTGATTTTGTGCAGACAGTGCAGTGAAGTCTTCTTCTCAATGTTTTGCAGTGAGCAGTATATACCTGGCCTGCTGCGCTGGAAGGGGGTGTTTTCAGAGCAACAGGTGAGGGAAGTGCTAGATGTGACCCGGGATATGATCCAGGAACTTGGCCTGTATCCAGTTCGCACACGTGTTACCCCTTGTCCTCTGAAGGGACTTTTTTGTTGTAACTGGGGTTCTACGCTAAGCTCACGACTGTTTAATACAATGTAGGCTACTGTAAAAAAAAAACCCCGGGTGCTAACTGGCAGAAGTAGTGTGAAAATGACTTGTGCTAGCTGTATTTTCTGTTTTCTTCTTACCTCTGTGGCACTAACTGTTCTCCACTGCAGCAGCCGAATTTAAACCTTTTGAAAATAGTTCAGTTAATTTTAAAGCATTTAGCAGCGTCGGACTTAATCCCCTTTTTTTTCCCCTTTCTCATAGTTTTTCTGCACCACCTTTCCCTTTTTACGGTCCATTATCTAGCTTTTACTGAAAATTAGCTCGTGTTGCAATCTCGCTGAAGACGTGTTTGATTTTGACTGAACTGTTCGGTATCAGGTAACATCTCGGGACCAGGCAGCCGGCCGTGGCCGACTGGGCAAAATGCTTAACATTTATTTATTATTAACATTATTATTATAACCATAGAGAAATCGTGCAAGTGATAAAAACCCGTCCTATGCGCTGTTGGCCCGTAAATTTTTTTTATTGACATATATTTAGAAAAAATCTGACCGGCCCATATTAAACAAAATGGTTCGGCCCCTATGGCATTTGCCAGAATTGCCAGATGGCCAATCCGCCCCTGGCTGTTTCTCACTATCATTTTCCCTTTCCTTGTTATACGATGGAATGTCTTGAATAGTAAAATGTGCTGTTCTTAAAATATTTGTATGGCACACCCAAGGGCTAGGCTGCCCTTCAGTCTTCTCTTAAATGCTGTCATAGCCTTCAGGCCTTAAACGGTTTGTAAGCTGCAAACCCATTGGCTGGAATCTTTATTCATGAGGTAAACTTCCAGTAGTATATCTGCTTTTCCTGCAAGCTCATTATTTACTCTGATGTATTCTGTGTGACAAGGAAGCTTTTTATTTGTGTCAGTCAAGTATGGCGTTTATGAAAACGATCAGGAGGAAAATTAAGAATGGGAATGAAGACAAACCTTTAATGAAAAAAATAGAGCAGACAGATGGTAAGACACTCTCATGTTATTTCTCTAGTCATTGATCTCACTCATTTATGAAAGTAAGTGTCTTTGCTCTTGTTGGAAAAGCCAACATCTTTCCATCGGTATACAATGCAAGCATATTGTTTAAAGTTTTTCAACATTTTGTTTGGTGGCATGGTTTGATGAATTACATTAGTGGTTTAGTAATTTATTAAAAAATACATTATTATTATATACATTATATTTATAATACATTATTATTATATACATTAAATTTTCCCAAAACATGATATTTATGAATAAATAATTAAAGATTTTTGAAATAATGTTTAATGTTGAAGATGTGTACATTCACATCTATCAAAGTGCCCCTCACCCCCCACCTTTTTTTTCTTTATCTTGCACACTCTTATTTGTCAGTGAACCTTTTATCAGGGGAACAGGCATCTGAATACAGTTCACAGCAGTCTGGAGTTCCTGGTCTCATTGCTCTAGATGTTGACGCACATAACAAGAGAGTGCTTCATACTCTCAGAAAGATTCTGAGTGACCAATCAACCCCTGAGGACGTTGACCCTGCAGTTGAGGAGTTGAACACCTTGTGCAAACTGAATAACAACTACTCTCAAGACTGGCTTTGTGAGTACCTTCAGGAAGTAGATCAGTTTGTGGAGAATGACTTTCCCACGCTGCCAGCAGAGGGACCACGAGGATCTCAGTTAGAGCAAATACAGGACTTTCTAAAGAGAACACAGGGCATGATACATGATGAGGTGCCTCGATTAACAACTGCACTGAAAGATGCTGGGCTGCTAGATCATCTGATGGACAGTTACAGCCGTCACATCTTTACCAACCTGGACCTGCTGCTAAACAGAGATCTGTCTGTAAAAGAGATCTTCTGCCTTCTACTGTGGGCAAAAGATGTTTTCTTCAGGTATAACATTGATTGTTGTTTACTTTTCTGTAAATATACTTATAATAAACAAATGAAGCATGAACTATTGACAAATTAATTTATGTTACAGTTCAGACTCACAGCATTTCTTCAGAGTGCACGACCCTCTGCTGTTGACGGGATGGTTTCAGAAAGCAACGGAGAAACTTCTGCCAAATCTGCAGGTCATGATATGCGCCATCTGTATTTGTTAAAAGTATTATCATTGTAATAGGCTAAAAAAGAGCATACAAAATTAGCAAAACATTTAGGAAGGACATAAAATGTCTCTGTCCCACTTTAACTGTCACAGAATGACATCCACACGACTCTACAGAACATCCTGGACTATGATGAGAAGCATAGACCTAATGGAGACTCAATGGTTGAAGAAACTTTCATCAGTGTTCACTTAGATGTCACTCAGGTAAAGGAAACAATGTGTAATGCTAATTTTTCTTGGTATTAAAAAGAGGATTTTAAATGGTTTTAAAGTTTGAGGTATTGCACACTTATTTTATGTTGTTATGTCTTTACAGTGCCTGAATGCTGTTATTCAGAGTTCTAAGGAATTTAGTCACACGCTGATGTGTATGGTAAAAACGCTCTGCCTTAAAGAGCTTTGTCGTTTTGTTCAGGAGTAAGTGTCTAAAATGTCTTCACATTATCTATCTATTTATTGTTATGTAATTTCTTTATTATTTTCTTCATAAAAATATGCAAAAATATTATGAACATTAAGATGAACTTTTACTTAATTTTCTATATATTTTTCTAGGTATGTGCATGTAGCAAAAGAATGCCTGGAAAAAGAGCAACACCTGAAGAAAAATTCTGTGCATCTGTTACGGCTCATCAGCACCTGTAGGCAACTCAGGTGATTTCTATTTTTAATGATTAATATAATTATACATTTATCAAACGTGTCAGAGTATAATTAACTGGCATTTCTCTATCCATAATGTTCTAATGATTTATGCTGCATTAGGTACATACACAGGCAACCACAAATCTAAAACTATAGTTTTGTCATAACAGTTTTATGCATATATTTATTTTGCTGTAGATCTTTTGCTCCTCAACTCCACAATCCGGATATAAAAAACAGTGACGACTTCTCAAACATTATCTGCATGTTAGAGGAGATGGAGGATCACGTCCTGTCTATTGTACAGAAGATGATGAAACACGTAGCACAGGTAACATCATTTCATCATAAACTGTTTATGTACAGAAGGAAAGTTGAGGGATTTCCCAAATTCCAAAAAGAGAATGTCTCAATCATCAATAGAGGTTAATATTTGTTAGCTTACATACATGCCTATCAGATTCCCTTTCATGGGAACTTCGAACTGCGTCCTCTAGGGGTCGCTATGGGGAAACCTAGAGGACGCAGTGTCTCGTTCCCTACTCAGGGAACCATGGTTACATAAGTAACCTGAGACGTTCCCTTTCATGGGAACTTCGAACTGCGTCCTCTAGGGGTCGCTATGGGGAAACCTAGAGGACGCAGTGTCTCGTTCCCTACTCAGGGAACCATGGTTACATAAGTAACCTGAGACGTTTTTCAACAATGAAGTGATAACCCTTTGTAATAAGGTACGGTTTGTTTACTTTAATGCAGTTAATGCATTATGAACTAACAATGAACAATACCTGTTAATTATGGAAAAATGGTTGTTTATTGTTCATGATACCCAAAGCGCTGTTTTTATGCATTCTAGAGGGCAGGATTTTGTGGTTGTGTTATTGTGTTATTTTTTGCAATAGACCAAATTCAGGAAAAACATGAAAATAACTAGTTTCTTTGTAAATGTACATTTCTAGACGTTTTTAAGACATTATTTCAAAGAAGAAGGTGAGCAAATTCAAGGGCTGACAGAGGCAATCCAAAAGCAATGTGCATCTCTGCCTCAGACTGAAAAAGAGATTCAGGAGGTTGGTTCTGTGCTCAAATACCCAGTCTAACTAAAAAAACAAAAAACAAAAAAAAAACAAAATTTTATACTTATTCTCTGCTCCTCTGCCCCACTTTCTTTCTGACAGATCTTTGTGAATGTATCCGATGACTGTGTTTCACGTGTGTATCTGGATTGCCTGATGAAGAGTAAGTTCAGACAGCTAGAGAAGCGATGGGGAAATGTCGGACAAAGAATGAGAGAGTACGCTCTCAATTTTCACAACACATTCACTGAACTGGTAAGAAGAACTCTGTAACATTTAATTAAATTACACTCTTAAAAATTTTTTTACAAAAGGGGATGTTCACACCGATGCCATAGAAGAACCACTTTCAGTGAATAAGTTTTAAAAGCACTGTTTTTTTTTCTAAGTGTGAAGAACTATTATGTATCTGTTTTACAGAATGGCAGGGATGACCAGAGGAACCATCTCCTTCAGAGACTCAGTGAAGTTTTGCTTCACCATGATGTAGAAGCACTGAAGATTACCTGTTGTGCTTTGTTCAGAGATTTCCCTCAGGAGAGGTAAACTTAGCCAATAACACTAATACTTTGTACACATAATTACAGGTCTGGAAATATATGTTTTATTATTTTGTTTTCATCAGACAGTGCAGTGAAGTCTTCTTCTCAATGTTTTGCAGTGAGCAGTATATACCTGGCCTGCTGCGCTGGAAGGGGGTGTTTTCAGAGCAACAGGTGAGGGAAGTGTTGGATGTGAGCCGGGACCTCAGCCTCGATCTGAAGCCTAGACGCGTCACCTGTCAGCCTCTGAAGGGACTTTTTTGTTTTCTTTGATATGAATAACAACATCAGCCAGAGTTGTAAAATTTTATTAAGTTGAATTCGATGACTGTTTTGTGACATTCATTTTTTTAACGTTATACTGGTACATTAATATTTTCATCAGATATTACAATATTTGCTTTTACCTGATGACATTTTGATGTTACTTGAAAATATGAAATAATGTTTCTATCAGATCACTGGAGAAAAAATAATTACCCTTTTACTCCTTTTTACCCTTTTAATCTTGTATATGATAATATAATTTTCACAGAGTTATTCATTTTGACTTCTACCTTTTACATTGTTACAAAAGAGGATTGTAACAACATGTCCAGCTATGAACCTAAATTATTGTTATATTATTTAACAGTTCAGTCAGGACCACTCTCTTTGATTAAGATTATCGTAGAGGTCCTGAACATTATTTTGGCAACAGGCTTTACTCTCAAGGGTTCAGATTCTGAGCTGTCCACAAGCAAACCTCACTGAGGCGTGAAACCCCCGAAGGCTAATGCAATTACCAGATATAAAATTCCATCCAGAAGTGATACAAGTCTGTAAATGACACTGGACGAGATTAAATGATTAGCTGATAGATGATTTCCATAGACAAGACGCTAAGTGATCATGCGCCTGTAGGGTAAGCGCATGTCTGTGCGACAGACCAAGGCAAGTGTGAGTTTGGATGACCTTATATATCTTATTTAATTGTAGTGGGAGGAGTTACAATCAACTGAGTATCAGCTGATGCTGGCTGTCACGCCATGGTCTGCCTGAACTTATGTTTGAGCTCCATTCGTCACTCAGACTACATTTATATTTATATTCATTTATATTTTTTGTAATTTTTTAAATTCTCATTTGAAAATAGGTATCTTTTGTGTGAAGTGATAGCTCCATTTTGGTGTACACAGATCATAATCCCTTGGTGTTCTTGACCCACATGTCTAACCCTAATCAGTTTTAGTACATGTGTTGGTCTTTAGTTATGCAAGAATATAATCTTGTTATTCTTGATATCCGGCACCAGAAAATAATTGACAAACATCATTGCCAATGCCCTGTGCAGAATTCATTTTTTTGACAATTCAAAATGTGTTTTTTTGTTTGCGATTAGTGATTCATTACTTTATCTTATAACCAGTGGGTGGCTTTGTGTATCTTTACCTCATTTGTGTTGAACTTACTGAAGTAGAGTTTCTTCCTTTGCTTCTCTGATTGCACTCCATGATTAAGAGAAATGGGAGAAGTGAGTGTTACCTTCTGTGTTTTTTTTTTGGTTCACAAGTTTAGTGATTAATTTGTTTTTGTGGGGTTCGTAGGGAAGTAGGTGTCATTTGTTTTGAATTGGACTTTTTCCCCCGTTTATGTTAGTTAGGGAGTTAACTTATTTTGCTGTACTTTTGTTTCTGTGTTTTTAGTTTAGTTATAGTTGGTTCCTGAGGAGTTAGTTATTTTTGTTGTTTTAGCAATATCCCCTTCTGAAACTGATACCCCTCTCTTTCTTTTGTTTGGCCCTTTAAATAAGGATGAATTTCTTCTGTGAAATATAACGTGTTTGTTTGGGTTATTGTGAAATAATTCTGAGGCTGGAGACGTGGTGTTTTATGTGCTGTCACCACCATCCATCCTCTAGACGAATCAGGCAATCGAAACAACAGGCTTTATATATGAGTCAGTGGTAGTGACTTTAAGCGTATAACAAGTGTCTTTGATGCCTCAATAAAGACATAAATTAATATGATTTTAATTTTTTATTTTACTTTATCTTTTTAACAGAGTATTGATGTTTGGTTGTCTCTGATCTGTTGGAATGCATTTCATTTGAAATGAATCTGCGTTGTGCATCTGTATGGCTGATTGACTGTTATTTTTCAAGGATAGGAAGCAGGAGGTAAAAACATGAACACTACAACTACATCCTGTGTTCCTGTAGAGGATACAGCTTGTCGGGAAATCTTCCTGAACAGACTCTTTCAGGAGTGTAACTTAAGATGTCTGTTACAGGCACTCCCATAATCCAGTAATTGCCACACAAAGCAGCAAATAACTATAAAGATGTGTGTACTGGAATTATTTGATGCTGATTACAAGACACAGTTACCATAAATTTACCATAGATTGCAAAAGGCCTGAGCATGAGCAAATCTAAAAAAGCAAGCAAATATACAAAAGCTATGTTATCAAGCAAAATTAATTTGATCCTCGCTGTGGAAAAGAAGCTCCTGCTAAACTGGAGTGAGTCCTGCGTTTTACTGAACTGATTCTGGCTGCAAGTGACGCTCTTCAGGATATTTCTGTTGTCTGATGGAAAAAGATTTCCCTTGAGTCTCAGCCAAGCAGAAATATGACGCTCACTGTAACAAGAACACAGACAGGAGAAAAGTGCAGCGGTCGTTTTTTAACCTGAATAATTGCACAGCAGAAACCACCAAACCTGAGATCAGGGTAAAGTATCATCAGACGTGCCAGCTCTAGTTTTCAGCAGATTTGAGAATTTCTTTCAACCAGTCCATATTTGATCCCTGTGATAAAGAAATTTCACTGTGTTTGATTTAAACTTGTGTTAGTATGTTAAACAAAATTTTGGGATTGGCTTGAACCTGTGGAACTGTTGGACAATTAATGTCAATGTCAAACTCCGTCCATGCATCGAACCTGGTTCTGCAGCATCTCCAGTAATGGTGTGGCAGGGCTCTCCAGTAATGGTTAGAGAGTCAGACCTTTAACCTGAAGGCTGCAGGTTCGATTGTCAATACTGGCAGGAAATGTAGGTGGGGGGAGTGAATGAACAATTAATACCCAGAACTCGAGCAAGGCACCTAACTCCTAATTGTGTGCTGACTTGTTGCCTCACTGCTTTATCAGACAATGACTCGGAAGGCAGTGTTTGTGCATGAAGACACCTCACAAAACTGATTTCGGACATGCTTCTGAGGCAACGTAACGAAACAAAACTGAGCGAGATTTGGTGAAAACTAAGCTATAATATTTACTTACTATAACACTGATTTCTCGCTAGAAGTAACATCAAAAGTGGAAAAAGTTGGTCCACCAAACACAACTTTCAGATCCCATCTTTATTTTTTAACTTAATGGAATGGAACGCACAGGATTGTTGGATACCAAAGGCATCTGCTGCCTTTCAAAATCGACCAGATGAAGGTATCTCAGGAGACAGGAAGTGAAGCTGACATTGGATTCAGATGTGCCTCAATGCCTTCCTACCTTGGAATGCATCCTCTGAAGGCAGCATTTTTCAGCTTTTGGATGCAGCCAGTGTGTCAGATAAGGAAGACATACAACATGGGCAGCGCAGGGGGTCCTCAGGACCAGGATATACACTTTCTCTTATACATACCCTAAAATCTTGATGATTCACGTTTGTAAGTGACCGAAATGTTAATAATGTTGAAATGTTAAAAAGTACCCACATATGACTGTTGGATATGTACTTGTTCCTACTGCAATTATAAGCATTTATTAGTGATTGTCTGTCCTGTTTATTTTGAACCTTTTTGAATTACCCGTATTGGATATGGTATTTGGTGACTGACTTATTGTATTCTTTACAGATCACGTTTTCAGAGGATAAGGTATAGAGAATGAATGGATGGAAAATAATAATAGTGACTGAACCCAATAGAGAATCATTTATGAAATAAAGTACTGGGAAATCAATATCTAGCCTCTGATATACCATACATGTTGCATTTATAATTTAATATGGAACACTGCTCAACCTTTCTTCTCAAACCTGCTGCAACTATTTCCAATACTTCAAATGAACCACAGTCATATCCTGTGCATAAGAGAAGAACAAAAACATCATGGTTGAGTTACATTTCACCATTTAATGCACCTGTACAAAAGCTTACATTTTCATAGATGTAAATCAGACAGGCTGCAAAATATAAATGCCCTTATTATAAAGTGATATTACACTTACATAAATGCCAAAGTTTTGGAGTAAATTAAAAACAGCCAAGAATAAAGATGAGTGGTATCCTCTGGTGAAAGACATGCAAACACACTACACAGAGACCTCCAATGCTGTCACTGCAGCTGCAATGCTGAAAATAAACTTCACTCAAGAATTGCGCCATAAGTACCTTCAGCATGATATACGATGAGGTGTGTCGATTAACACCTGCACTGAAAGATGCTGGGCTGCTAGATCATCTGATGGACAGTTACAGCAGTCACATCTTTACCAACCTGGACCTGCTGCTTAACAGAGATCTTCTGCCTTATTATGTGGGGAAAATATGTTTTCTTCAGGTATCAACTGCACATTTGTTGTAAATGTAATAAGCATGTACATACAACAAATAAGTTAACTTTGAAATGTACACTGCTCAATAAAATTATAGATGCTGAAGATTCAGCTTTGCCATCACAGAAATAAATTATATTTTAAATGTATATTCAAATAGTATTTTTTTAATTCTAATAATATTTCATAATGTTTCTGTTTCTATTTTTGATCAAATAAATGATTTTTATGAGCATCTGAGACTCCTTTCAAAAACATTTAAAATCCTACCTCCATCCAACCTCAAACTTTTTAACAGTAGTGAATATGTGCTTCTGTTTCAGTCCAGACTCAAAACTGAGAGTGTAACCCTTGGCTAACCACTTCTAGTTATTTTAGCTGTATAAGAACAGTCCATTCTGCTACTTGATATTGTAAACTGGTATTTGTTATTATCTCATTTTAATTTATTATCATAATAATAAATACACTGGTTTGTAGTGCAAACAGTTTGACAATTACTGCACTTTACAGTGCAGTTTTATATGCATTAACGAAAAGTCTCGCACATTCACAGAAAAGTTTTCATTGCAAAATAAGGTGGGTATGACTGTCTGTTTTTCTTTGACTCTCATTACTGACTCATGTGGCAGTAATGCATGAAAGAACCTAAAATGAGCGGTGTAACACACATGTATCTCTGCCCCACTTTACTGTCACAGAACGACATCTCTACGTATCTACAGAACATTCTGCACTACGATGAGGAACATGGACATAATGAGGACTCAATGGATGAAGAAATTTTCATCAGAGTTCACTTAGATGTCACTCTAGTGATGCTAGACTTAGCTATTAGCTATAGACTAAGCTATTTTTATTTTCTCATGTAAAAAGGTGTTATTTTTAATATGATACATTGCTAACTGTTTTCACAGTGCCTGGATTGTGCTATTTTAGATGCTCAGAAGGTTGGTCTGACTTTGATGCATGCAGTACAAATACTCTGTAGTGGAGAGCTGCATGGATTTGTTCAGAAGTAGGTTTATCTTATATTATACCTTTATCTAAAGTTCACACACTAAAGCGGTTCTCATTTTATGAGTTTCCAGTTATGATCTTTTTAGTGGTTGTTGGAGTGGGGAGGCTTGTAATCCTGTACTTAATGTAAATATGTGTTTTCTTAGGTATGTGGATGCTGAGAACTAAAAAAGAGAGTCTAAAAAGACTAATATTTACAGAGAAAAACTCTGTGTATCTGTTTCGGATAATCAACACTTGTATGCAACTCAGGTATTTACTAATAATGAACTAATACATGGCTTTAAAAAGTTGACCCCCATAAAAATCATCAGTTGTTACATTTTTAATGAATGCAACAGCAGCAGAAATATTGAAACAATGATGGCCGGATTTTAAATGAAAAAAAAAATGTTGGTTGAGTGACTACAACATTTTAAAATAAAGTTTTGATGATTTTTTTTTTAAAGTCACATTTCTGACTTTAAATCATTTTTAAGAATAGGGATATGAATCAAAATAATGATTGCAGATACCTTTCCATCCAAAATATTGAAATTTTTAGAATGCACATAACCTTATTTTCATTATTTTCACATTAACCTTATCTTATGACCTCATTCTCCAACATTACGGAAAAGCCATGAAAGGGCAGAGGACACCTCAGCCGGAGCCTTTTCTCATTATGTGAAGCAACAGGAATTAGACTGAAAGTCCTGGTAGTTAACGCTGGGAAAGTGTCTGTTTCCCCCATGGGAAAGAACACTGCAGAGGTCCCATCCTACCCAAAGGGGAGGTAACATGTGAAGAGCAGCCTATGGACTTACTGAAGGAAGTACCACATAGAGAAGTTTCTGTGGTGGGCACCGCATAAGGGGAGAACTGCCAAACACAGAACCTAATGATAGATCGGGTGTCTGTCTAGGGGAGACACTGAATCATAAGGACAAGTCAGTAGAGTGATACATACTGTATATGGGGACCCCAAAGGGGGGCACTACATAAGGAGCACAAACCCATTACGAGAGTTCACACGAGGATACTTCCTCATTATGGATTTTTATAGTGAGTTCCTCCCTATGTGAAAAAAAGTGCTAAAGTGATGGAAAGGTAGTCCAGGGTTCATAGGAAGGAACTGAACTGGTCTCAATGAGCGCGTATGCCACCTGAGACAGGGGGAGGCGCTGTGTGCAAGCTCTACACCTACCAGACACCTGAGTTAAGAACTAGTGTTTAGAACTCTGGATGAGACTGGTTCCATCCAGTTGTAGAATCTGGTGAATTTATTAAGGCCAATTCATGCCGCACAGACCAACAGCAAGAAACAAGTTTGTTGGGTTTTGTTGGACCATTTTGTTACCCCTGTCTGCGTCTGTTGACGTTGGTTGGAGTTTCTTTTCACCTGACTGAACATGTTCAGTCAGCGTTTGTTGGTGTCTGTTGGGGCAGTGTGAATATGACAGTTATTTTTAATAAAATTCAAAATCCAGTGGCCAACTTTTTTGTTAGTGTTTTATCGTTTTTGTTTGTGCAGTGTGTGAATTGGCCTTTCGGCCTAGCCCATCCTCCAGCTCCACAGATGCTAGCGAGGTCCCATTTGTTAGAGCTGACGAAGCAGCAACACCGCAGGTCAAGTGAGCCCTCACTCCCAGTGGGCTGGATAAGCCCCTGGCCTGATAGGCTATCAGGATTGCATCCACAATCCAGTGGGAGATCCTCTGTTTGGTGACAGCATTTCCTTCTGCTGTCTTCCAAACCAGACAAAGAGCTGTTCAGACAGTCTAATAAATGCACTGGGCACAACAGAGACAGGTCAGGGTCCCCCTCCTTTGGGGTTACCACCTGATCTCTAAAAGGAGTGGTGGGAACCTTGGGCACATATCCCAGCCCGAATTCTAGGCACGATTTGCTAACTGAGAGGGCTTGAAGATCCCCATCCTCTTGATAGAAGGGAGCGCAGTCAGGAAGGCCGTCTTCATAGAAAGGGCACTAAGTTCAACTTACTGAGGGGGCTCAAACAAATCTCTCTGTAGAGTCTGAGGGACCACTGAGAGGTCCCAAGAGGGGATGAGGCGCAGTCTCTGAGGATTTAACCTTCTGGGCGCCTCTTAGTAATCTGATAACCAGATCGTGCTAAGGAAGTAAAACGTCCTTTGGGGCACATAGTGCCTTGTCCGCTAGGTCTGTCAAATGAGCGACCGACGGATGAGGGAACAGGGGTTCACCAAAATGCATCCCAGAAGGCACTTTTCTGCGAGTGGCGGGCCGGGGTTCAGGCTTGACTGCTGGCCTGGCCTATTGTGGGGTCTCAGCAGTCCTCACAGGGTGCCGTCCCCAGTGACGAACAGATGGAGGCTGCTGCTCTGGGGGCAGGAGGTTTTTAATGGCCTCGGCCTGCATCTTTACTGTGGAGAACTGCTGGGCAAATTCTTCTATGGTGTTGCCAAAGAGACCAACCTGGGAAATAGGGGTGTCAAGAAAGCGTTCTTTCTCAGCAACCCGCATCTCTACCAGGTTGAGCCACAGGTGACACTCCTGGACCACAAGCGTGGACATCGCTCTGCCCTGAGCCTGCAC